GCTCTGGACTTCCTCCAACAGTTCCATGGCCTTCTGTTGGGGGCACGCAGTATTCCAGGTGGGTCTCACCAGAGCAGAGTAGAGGGGGAGAATCACTCCCCTTGACCTGCCGGCCACAGTCCTTTTGATGCAGCCCAGGATTTGTTTAGCTTTCTGGGCTGCAAGAACACATCACCAGGTCATGTTGGGTTATTCATCAACATAGTATTTTTGATTATGAAATAACTTACAGTATTTTACATTCCATTTTTAGCATCTCCATTTTTAACATCAAATGGAAATCTTTACATTGCCTTTTTGTCGATGCAGTGGCTGAAAAGGTTGTTTCCTTGCATAAACACACAAACTGAAAATTTACCCAACACAAATTCTCCTAATCTGGGTTTGCAAATTAAAGCCCATTTCAATTGTGCATACAGACTGTTTTAAAGCATATTATAAAAAAGGGTTACTTAAAACATAGTAAGTTAAAAAATTGAGTAATTCAGTTATATGAGAAAGAAAATGCAATTTATAAAAGACATAGTAAAAGTTATGATAACATTTTATAGCAGTACTGAAAGTGAAGCAAGAAAAATAGGACTAGTAATTATTCCCAGCCATAAAACTGGTGATCCTAACTGAAACAAAATAAAGATAAAGAGTAGAATAACAATTTAAGATACACTACAGGACAATTTCGATAACTTCAAGCCGAAAAGCTATAAAATCAGAAAAATCAGAGAAAAGGTGAATTTAAAAGAACTTCAGACATGAAAAGCATAACAAAAGGCATGAGGCAGCACAGTTCTGCAAATTATGGACTCACTGTGAATTAACACTAAGGTTTTGTTATTTGTAGCTTCAAACCCTTTGAAAGTCACTTTCAAAGACAGTAGCTTTGTTTCCATGCTTTTTCCTGTTATATATTATGACAGAAGTGAGAGTAATTTTTCAAGGTCCCATCTCAATAAAACCCTCGTTTTTCAGTGGAACTAAAATCCCAGGCTCCTCTTGACAGAGAAGGCTGTTTCTCAGTCTTTAATTCTAAAAGATAACAGCTCTCCCTGTTTTTTTAAAAGTTCCCACCTTAAGACTTTAGAAACTTTAAAAACTACTGTGCTAACTAAGAATTAAAAAGCAAACAACCCACCAGTAAGCAATTCCACTACCTTTTAGGTCACCTCCACTTAAAATCTGCCAGTCTGACATTTTTTTTCCCTTTACATACAAAGCCTTTTGTGACTGAGTTTGGGAAAATATACATTGTTCTTAATATTGAACTATAACTTCGGTAACCTCCACCCAAAGAACAACAAAATAACTCAAACGTCTAAGTGATTCTTAGACAGGGAGACACATTCATGCATAAGGTGACTGATGGACACCTTTTCCACTTGTGCACTTTTGGGAGATATTAAAAGCTGATATAAGCCCTGGGAAGCACAAAAGAAGACAAAAAGCTCTCAAGAACTACTTTAAGACAGAAAGTAAAGACCTATGTTAGCTTTTGTACACTGTACATTATTTATATGAAAGTACATATGGAAAAGACAAACAATAAAATGCTATTGCCACCCTTTTATCAGGTGTCTTCCTGTTAATCTGTCTCACTCTGATTCCAGCTAATATGACAAATCTTTAAAGAAATGCTCCTTAAAAGGACAAACTAGCCATAGAAGCTTTTCCTCTCACTTTGAAAACATTGAATTTTATACTTGGATTCAGCTTATAGTAAGTTTGAAAAACAACAAGTCTTTGAATGTGAAAAGTGACACTTTTCTGCACCAAAAATGTTTTAAAGACTGAAAAAAAAACGGGCTAGTAACACTTGCTTCAGTCTTTGAATAGGGGGCCATTTTCCAAAGGAGGACTGTTGTTTAGATCTAGCATTTCTGTCATCTAACACACATTTAAAAGAGAATGTTAGGCTAGTTCATATTGATAGGGATTAATTTTTTTCTTTCAAATATAGGAGATTAACATGGATAGTGTCTGGATACATCATCTATAATATTGTTAATGAGTTCATCACTGAAAAAGACATAAAAAAAGATGCTGATTGAACTGCCAAACTTAAGGCTGAGAAGCAGAAGTGACTTTCAGAAAGGGCGACCATTTGTGAATTCAAATGACTTTTATCTATAACCATTTTTACAATCACTTGCGAACACCAATACAATTCTATTATTGAATTTGTTCATAAACTACTTTTTAAAAGCATTTCAGGGACATATTATATTGGGGTGTATTTTTAAGAACATCAACTGCAACACAATATTATGTAGAGTGACAATGTCATATTTGACCTCTGTGGATACAAAAATTATTATATTTTATTGTTTATAAGCTTCCTGTTAAAAGCCAATCTGGCATCCAATATTGATTCTCAAGTCGAGTGATAGAAATGAGGAATGCCAGGAACAGAGGGAGAAATTAATTCAAACTGAAACGTAAATTTTGAAGAAAATATTTACAGGAAGAACATATGTAAAATCAGTAGTGAGCTACAAAAATAATCTTCTGTGTTTTTACAAAATATTATTTTACAAAATATTGATAAAAATGATGATATCTTTAAAGACTTGGTAAGTTTTCGTGAACTCTTTACCCTTCAGTGCTGCTTCTCATGGGATTCCACCTACCAGTTCCCTGGTCTCCAGGTCAGTACTGTGCTACTCTCCTTCCTTCATTGTCTCAGGGTCTTGGTCTTCACAACTTCATGGTCATATAGCCAAGATTGCTACTGATTATTATTTCCTTAATCAGTTCTTCCTTGTTTGTAAACAGCTGTGTGACATCTCTGGTTGGCTCAGGCAATACCACTCCCCAGTCACACTGAACACCACCTTTACCTGCTTATAACAGCACTCAAACACCAACACTACTAATTCCCATCCCTGCAATCACCTGGCTTTGACACATCTTTCTCTCTTCAGTGTGCCTCATCAGCCAGGAAGACAAAGAGACATAGAAACTATTCTGCCTGTGTTCACTAAAGGTATGGGTAACAGCAATTTTCAATAATTTACCTAGTATTATAAGCACTACATTTCGCAATTTGAAAATTATTAAGCTGGTTTAGCACACACTAGATTTTACTCTCCCAATTATCAACAGACCATTTCTTGTCCTGAGAATCCTATAATCCTTTCATCAAAATCACTCCAAAGGACTCAATTTGCAAAAACATTACCTCCCATATTCACAGATCTGAATGAAACTCTTTACAAAGGGTTTCCATCAACAAAAATCAGAAGCATCACTAAAACCACTGAATTGCTAGGTCAGGGAAAAAAAAGGACATTTCTGGGTAAAGTGTTAATTAGATAAGTTACTACAGTTAATATACCAGAAAGTCATGTGCTTTGATAATGTAAAAGAACACAGCATTGTAAGTGTACATTAGTCAGGTAAACAAAAAAAAATCCACTACCTATCCACTACTATAAGCAGCCATCAAACACTTAGATACCACGGCTTATTTCTTACAGGAATATAAACAACACTAACTAGCTTTCACCAACAAACAAGGAAAAGTATCAGTTAAATAAAAGAGAAAATATTCTGTACCATGTATTCAATTATTTCCCTTTTTTCTGTTTTATCATGAAATAACTTTTGAATATATTACAAGTAATTATAAGGCCTCTCACAGAATGGAGACCTTTGGAGGCTAGAACAGGATTTATCTGAAACTGCAGTTAGAGTATTCTTCCTAAACAGTTGTTGTTTATTGCAACAAAATTATAGGGAAGTAAATTACACATTGTGGAAAAAAATGTGATAATACATTTAAGCTTTTATCATTTCACACATCTATATTATCTTAAAATACAGCATCTTTTATTTTTTAATGATTACATTTTAAGATGACTATTTGAAGTCAGATTCCTGCTTTGCAACATCAATTTTTAAAAAGCTGTGGGTCTTAAGTGAAGGAATGTAAATGAATGCAAGTCCCCACTGGTAGATTTGAATATATAACTTGCTATTTAAAGAAAATAACTTGTAGTGAAATGTCTGGAGAAGTTAATTCTGAAATAACATCCAGGAGTCCATTCCACTTCGTACCTTTATTCTGACATCATTGCCAGATTTTTCTGTTTTCCATTGTGCCTCCTGCTTCCTCAGTTTCTCCAGGTCACTTAGCAGGTCAGCACAGCATGTATTTAATCCCTTATTTTCCTCCTCCAGGTTTTTTATAACCAGTCTGTTTTGCTCTTCCCTCTTCTGTGCACACTCCTCAGTGTCCTGTAGAACAGTACCACAAGGGCCGATAAACAAAAAAAGTGAGAACTAATCAGCAAATATAAACTGTGCAGTTTTACCCTCACAGCAGCTTCTTCTATATTTGATGGCCAAGGTCACCTGTGTACTTTTATTGGCCTCTTTCATGCAGGTGGAAGGGTCATATTTTTTAGCTGGATGACAGCTTTGATGAGTACACATTTGCAAAGAGCCTATTAATTGATCAAGCTGCCTTTGATGCTGTCCCCAGCTATTTTTGAGACCCACACAGACATATCCTCCCAGACCTCGGCTTTATCAATTAATAATGCCAGTCCCATCAGAATCTAATTACAAGATGCCACATCTTCACACTCCTACTTTCTTTGCTCCATTTCCATCATTAACTATTTATCTGAAAGTTATAAAGCCTGGATACTTGCCTTTAAAGCATCTTCCTCAGAGTTGGTATGTAAGAAAACGGTAAGGTATAGCACGGCCTAAGGCAATTTTTTCTCCAAGCTTGTCACTTTCTGTGCCACAAAGGCTGACACTGCTTAAAGAACTACTTCAAAGCTACAGTCTTATGAAACTATGTACAAGTCAATATACCTTAAGTTCTTGGCTTTTATCTTTAAATTTCCGGTTCAAGTTACTGAATTCATTCTTCAAACGAGCATTTTCCTCTTCCACAGCATTTTTTCTCTGCATTAAATTGTTTATCTCCTGCTGCTGTCCTGTGAGTCTCTATTTAAAAATAAAAAATCTGTTCATAGACAGAAAGAAATTGCAAAAGGGCATGCATGTCCTGGGTTGAAAATGAAATGTATGAGATGTAACCATCTGACACATGTCGTTTCTACAGAATTATTTTAATTTCATTCATATTTTAATAATTCTCAAAACTGAATTACTATAAGACACAGTAATGTAAACAAGGAACTGAATATCTTGCTGCTACTGAACAAAGAAGCCCATAAATGCAGAACTGAATGGAAATTACTCAGCGAAGCTTATACAAAAACAGTTCCTTGCAGAAATTATCTCTGTGTTTATGGATTAAGAATTCATGACAATACTGTTTAAGTTGAACTTTTAGCACACCAAAAATCAAGCCAAAGTGCTGAGTTCAAAATTTGCTAGAATTTGTCATGGTAATTAAAAATTACTATTAAGTGAGGCCACCAAAAAAATTATGATACAAAGCAGTTGCAAAAAGAGCAGTAAATCTAACTGAATTTGCAGCTCAAGGAAAATAATATAACTCTGCTCAACACACACAACAGTTTAGTGTACCCACATACAGTAAATATGTGAGATATAGACATAGTAAAATCTCACTGCCATAAAAAAAGAACTTTGAGTTGCTGTGATAGATACTTGCATTTTATTCTCATGACATTCAGATTAAAACAGCATCACTCTTAAATGCATATTAGAACTCTGCATTTTTCTTCAGGAGGTTGTTTTAATTCCACATACTGTTTTGTCCCATCTCTTCCTAAATCAAAAGGGCATTAATCTATAACATTTTCCTAGTAGTGACACTGTGCTGTAGTAAAAACCTAAAGAAACTTTTGTGTCAGGACAAAACTGTAACTGCTTTGCTTTTAAAACACAAACTAAAATGACATGTGTTCAGAAACATAAAAATTCATCAGCAAGAGGATATATCTCTAGATTATTCTACAATACTTCTGACAACACACGTAAGGGTTTTCAGTGTCCAAATGGTTACATCTGGTTCACAACTATGTCAGACGTGAAAAAGAATGAAAAATGTGCTGAGTAAAAACATGCAGAACAATACATTTGAAGACACTTTTTCACCACCCAAAATGCAAACCATTTGTACTTCAGATATATTATTACAGTTACAGAAACAAATTGTTGCTGGCAGAGATTTAGTCAAATCTTTAAAAAGGTATGAATCCACATTATTATGGAAAGCATCAGTTATTTTGTTTGCTGCCCTCCCACTCCCCAGGTCCTCATGGAATTTCAGTAAGAGGCTCCTTTGAGTATTCCTTCCAGCTCATTACTACTTGTTTAACATTAATCAAGACAAAGTCTATATTTGAAGAACACCCTTAAAAATTCCACCTATCCAAAAGAGACTATTGGCTCTGAGCTAAAAATTCACAAACACATGCTCTCAGAGATGCTCCAGCTCTTTAAGGCATCTAATTTTTGAGTACACAGCTACATCATGTTACTACTTAGGTTCATTATATCCTGTGTGGAAACTGGCAAGCATATGTATATTTGTGAAGTGAATCCAAAGATATTTGGGTTCTGTTTGGAATGGGATGTTTTCCAGCAATTTAGAGGATGAATCGAGACATGAAGGCACAAAAAGTGCAACTAGTTATTTCAAATGTTTGTTCTGTATTGCTGAGATTTAATTTTGAACTGAAATAAAATACTTACTTTGCATACTTCACAGGATAATCAGACAGATTATCCTGAATCAGACTTGTGCACTAATTACTTATCTCCACAATTGACCCACTTAACACTTTAAATCAATCAAAAGGCAAATACACCACATCAATCACTAAGCAGCAAACACACCTGAGTAGTCTACAAAGCCATTTACTACAGCAGTAGTGAAACATTATCTAGGTAAGTTAAACTTTCATGCCAAAAAATAACGTTATGTTTCAAAGCATTCTTCTTGTGTATCACTTTGCTCTTATCTTTTCCTCTAATCGAATTGAACTTTTACTCTCATATCTGCTCATTTCACTTCCTTACAATAATGGGAAAAAACCCCAGAAGTATTACTTGGGAGCCGTGACTGGGTAGAAACAAGGGTCATAAAAAAGAATTTCTGAGATACAGACAATTAAGTGAATTATCATCTGCCCTTGCCTGCACAGCTGTTTTTGTACTTTTCTTCCTCAACCTACGAATTACCTTGTATAATAGGAGGAAGAGAGTAAAGACTGATTTCTTACAACAGAGAACACAAGCAGACTACCCTACTCTGGCAGGCAAGTGAAACAGCAGCAAAAAACACATTCCTGATCAACACATGGGGCAACCTCCTACACCAGGTTATTCTGACAGACTTCATCATGTAAAACCAGCTCAATATGAGCCAACAGTATGCCCAGGTGGCCATACAGCATCCTGGCCTTTTACAAGATTAGTGTAGCTCAGGACTAAAAAAGTGATCAAGCCCCTGTATTCAGCACTGCTGAGCCTGCACCTTGACTACTGTGTTCAGTTTTGGGCCTCTCACTTTGAAAAGGACATTGAGGTGCTGGAATAAGTCCAGCCAAGGGCAACAAGGCCCTTTGTAAAAGGTCCAAAAAACATGTCTTACGAGGAACAGCTGAAGAAGTTGGGTTTGTTCAGTCTCAAGAAAAGGAGGCTCAGGGGTCACCTCATTACTCTCTACAACTACCTCTTCTGCCATACCTAGAGGAAATGGCTATAAACTGAGACAGGGCAGATCCAGATTAGAAACCAAAAATTCACTGTTATGGTGGTCAGGCACTGCAATAGGTTGCCCAGGGAGGTGGTGGAGTCACCATCCCTGGGGGTGTTTAAGAGGCATCAGGATCTGGCACTGGGTGATAGGATTTAGGGGCTACAGTGGTGGTCTAGGTTGACAATTGCACTTGATGATCTTAAAGGTCTTTTCCAACCTCAATGATTCTATGATTCTAAAAACAACCTCAGCTCACATTTTGTGTTGAATCAGTTGCACTTGTTTGAATACAACAGGACAAAATCAATTTTTGAAGGCTTGGTGCTCAAAAACTACGATAAGCCTCATATAACTAAGATATCTGAAGTACACTTCAAACGGTTTTTTTCCTAGACTAACTTACGAGAAAGAAAACTGTATTCTAGAAGTCAATTTGCCCCAATGAAAACTAAAAGAATCTGATTTCACTCTTTTGTTTAACCAGGAAGAATCAAATTGTATACTACTGGAGCCCAGAACGTTCCAGGCAACAGCACCTACAAAGAAAGAAACACTGACCTGGTGGAGCAGTCCTTTTGATGTTTAGGAGGACAGTTATTTCAGAATACATTTCTATCCTTTCCAATGGCATCTCTTAAATTACAGCACAATACTTTTTTTTTCTTCCATAATAATGTGACATTATTCACTGGCATATACTACTTACTTTTTTCTTAAACACCTTCATCACATACTAAGTGTCCTAGGTTACAATGTAGGGTGTATTCCATTATCATCTCCAAAAGCAGGAGGGGCAGTGCTCGATATTTCCTACTCATCCTGATGGCTCCTTCAGGAGGCTCTCTCTCTGTTTCATGGGCTGTCAGGGGCCCAGGCATGACTCATAGAACTACATTGTCCCGTGGTGAGATGCTTCATCCCAGGGGGGAGAGCCAAGCATTCCCGCGTGGGTGGGGGGGGGGGAGCCAAGCACTCCCACAGGGATATAAGCTGAGGTTTGGACCAGCACAGATGCCCTTTGTCTCCTGGATTCTCAGAGGACAGGAGCTACCACTGGCCCTTCAGGTGAAGACCAGACCTACAGGATTGCTGCTCCAACAGAACATCACTCCAGGAGGACTGCACCCACCATTTAATTGGACTACTACCAACAGCCTGACTGACAGGGTGTCAGGTTGCTTTCTGATTCTGCCAGTGGTTTCTTTTTGTACTGTTTCATTTATTGTTTTGTTTTTCCTATTAAATTGTATTTCTAACTTGAAGTCTCTCACTGGTTTGCTTTCAAACCAGCATACTAAGTCAAGCTGATAAAATCTATGAGAATGACAGATCAAAACTCAAAGGAGAATATAGCTCTTTTTTGTCTTATCTTCAAATACCTCAGTCTTTTCATGTTAGTAGGATGATAAAATTTCTGTATTTCATGTGAATGATATAAAAAGAAGTTTTTCAATTAAGCTTCATTTTTATCCATTATGAATTTAGACAATATACTAGCGTATGGAGACAGTGAAAATGGCAACAAAAACAGCACTTAAATGCCAGGACTCTGATTCCAAAATGACTATGAGTTAGGATACAATTACCAGAAGTTAAGTACTGTTTGATCATCACTGAAATTCCAGTATTCACTGAGAGATATTTTATTCGGCTACATAAAAAGCACGTGTAAAGAACTATGAAACAACAGGTGCACATGCTATTACTGTTCTCCAAGTTTTTATATTTTGGGGGTCAAGAGTGGGAAAACAACTCCTATGTCTGCATTTTGAAATCTGATCAGACTGCATTACTGAATCAGTCTTGCATACCTGCCTCTATATGGGTTCATAAAAAGTAGTTAAGAGTGGGGTTTACCACATGTCAAGAAGTTAGCTCAAACTAGAGTGAAAACACTCTAGAAGAAATTCAAAGCTGACATATATATCCTTTAATGTTTCTGCTAAAGATACAGAAACGTTAACAATGCGCTGCTAAAGTACTTCATGAAAAAGCTCAAGTCTCTGCACCACAACATTAAAGGTGTCCATCTGTGACTGCAACAAATGGGGATGCATTTCAATTCTACTACCTCAAAAGGATCAGGGAAAGAAATAAACATTATATTCTATGGTTTCTTTGTGGCATTCTATATCAGGAACTTCCACTGTGCAGTAGCCCACTTCTAATATACCACATAAAAAAAAATGTTTAAAAAAACCACACACTGATGAAAAACTGAACTATTTTCCCCCAGGCAGTAACTTCAATGAAATTCTGACATCTTAAGCAGAAACAAAATTAATTTAGTAATTAAAT